ACACCTCTTCACGGGATTTTCCTGCGAAGTGTGTGGCGATTGATATTCGGAGGTGAAGCTTGAGGAATGGGGTTGGGGGGTGCGGGCGGGGGATGGGAGGGCGGGGGCGGGGGGGGGGGGTGGTGGAGCCAGTCGGGATTCGCTTTGGTGACTCAGGAGGGGACTCTGTGCAATAACTTTCTATGATTATTTTACCTCCAAACAAGAAATCCCTGTTGAGATGTTTTTATTTTTTGGGTGGGAGGGGTGGGGTGGGGGTGGAGGGGGTGGGTGGGGGGGGGGGGAGGCTTGGTGGCCGAGGCTGATGGTGGAGCAGACCAGTCTGTTCAAAAATGGCTCCCGTCTTGGCAGTGGACGGGCTCCAGTCTCTCCATGTTACATAACGTCTCTCTGTTGGACGATTTGTGTGTGTGTGTGAGATTGTGTGTGTGTGAGATTGTGTGTGTGTGAGATTGTGTGTGTGTGAGAGTGTGTGTGAGAAAGTGTGTGTGTGAGAGAGTGTGTGTGAGAGAGTGTGTGTGTGAGAGTGTGTGTGTGAGAGAGTGTGTGTGTGAGAGAGTGTGTGTGTGAGAGAGTGTGTGTGAGAGAGTGTGTGTGTGAGAGAGTGTGTGTGTGAGAGAGTGTGTGTGTGAGAGAGTGTGTGTGTGAGAGAGTGTGTGTGTGAGTGAGTGTGTGTGTGAGTGAGTGTGTGTGAGAGTGTGTGTGTGTGAGTGTGAGCGAGAGCACGCGTGTGTGAGCGAGAGCGCGCGTGTGTGAGCGAGAGCGCGCGTGTGTGTGCGAGAGCGCGTGTGTGTGAGCGAGAGCGCGTGTGTGTGACAGAGTGTGTGTGTGACAGAGTGAGTGTGAGAGTGAGTGAGAGAGTGTTTACGTGTGAGTGAGAGTGTGTGTGTTTAGATGAGAGTGTGTGTTGAGGTGAGAGTGTGCGCGCGAGAGTATGTGTGCGTGTCAGGGTGCGCGCGTGTTAGAGGGTACGAGTGTGTGTGTGCGCGAGTGTGTGTGAGTGTGTGTCAGAGAGAGAGAGTGTGTGTGTCAGCAAGTGTGTGTGTCAGAGAGTGTGTGTGTGCAGAGTTTGTGTGTTTATACAGTGTGTCTGTGTGTGTGTGTGAGAGGGTGTGTGTGTGAGAGTGTGGGTGTGTGAGAGGGGGTGTGTGTGTGAGAGTGTGGGTGTGTGAGAGGGGGTGTGTGTGGGTGTGTGAGTGAGAGAGTGTGTGAGTGAGAGAGTGTGTGTGTGAGTGAGAGAGTGTTTGTGTGTGAGAGACTCTGTGTGTGTGTGTGTGTGTGAGAGACTGTGTGTGTGTGTGTGTGTGCGAGAGACTCTGTGTGTGTGTGCGAGAGACTGTGTGTGTGCGAGAGACTGTGTGTGTGAGAGATTGTGTGTGTGTGTGTGAGAGAGACTGTGTGTGTGTGTGTGAGAGAGACTGTGTGTGTGTGTGTGTGTGTGAGTGAGAGACTGTGTGCGTGTGAGAGTGTGCGTGTGAGAGACTGCGCGTGTGAGAGACTGTGCGTGTGCGAGAGACTGTGTGCGTGTGCGAGAGACTGTGTGTGTGCGAGAGACTGTGTGTGCGATAGACTGTGTGTGTGAGAGAGACTGTGTGTGTCCGTGTGAGAGACTGTGTGTGTGCGTGTGAGAGACTGTGTGCGCGTGTGAGAGACTGTGTGCGCGTGTGAGAGACGGCGTGCGCGCGTGTGAGAGACGGTGTGCGCGCGTGTGAGAGACGGCGTGCGCGCGTGTGAGAGACGGCGTGTGCGCGTGTGAGAGTGGGTGTGAGAGCAGGTGTGCGCGTTTGAGAGCGGGTGCGGGCGTGTGAGAGCGGGTGCGGGCGTGTGAGAGCGGGTGCGGGCATGTCAGAGCAGGTGCAGGCGTGTCAGAGCGGGTATGTGTGCGCATGTGAGTGAGAGCATGTGTGTGTGAGACTGTGTATGTGTGAGACTGTGTGTGTGTGAGAGTGTGTGTGTATGTGACAGAGTGTGTGTATGACGGTGTGTGTGTGACAGTGTGTAAGTGAGAGTGTTTACGTGTGAGTGAAAGAGTGTTTACGTGTGAGTGAGAGAGTGTTTATGTGTGAGTGAGAGAGTGTTTACGTGTGAGTGAGAGTGTGTGTGTTTAGGTGAGAGTGTGTGTGTATTTAGATGAGAGTGTGTGTTTAGGTGAGCGTGTGTGTTGAGTTGAGAGTGTGTGTGCGTGTCAGGGTGCGCGCGTGTAGAGGGTACGAGTGTGTGTGCGCGAGTGTGTGTGTGAGTGTGTGTCAGAGAGAGTGTGTGTGTCAGAGAGAATGTGTGTGTGTCAGCAAGTGTGTGTGTGTGTCAGAGAGTGTGTGAGAGAGTGTGTCTGTGTGCAGAGTGTGTGTGCAGAGTGTGTGTTTGTGTGTTTATGCAGTGTGAGTGTGTCTGTGTGTGCGTGTGAGAGGGGGTGTGTGCGTGTGAGAGGGGGTGTGTGCGTGTGAGAGGGGGTGTGTGCGTGTGAGAGGGGGTGTGTGCGTGTCAGAGGGTACGCACGTCTGCGCGAGTGTGTGAGTGTGTGTCAGAGAGAGTGTGTCAGAGAGAGAGTGTGTGTCAGAGGGAGAGTGTGTGTCAGCGTGTGTGTGTGTCGGAGTGTGTGTGTGTGCCGGAGAGTGTTTGTTTATACAGTGTGAGTGTCTGTGTGTGTGAGAGGGGGTGTGTGTGTGAGAGGGTGTGTGTGTGTGTGTGTGAGAGGGTGTGTGTGTGTGAGAGGGGGTGTGTGTGTGTGAGTGTGTGTGTGTGAGAGGGGGTGTGTGTGTGTGAGAGGGGTGTGTGTGTGTGTGAGGGGGGGTGTGTGTGTGAGAGGGTGTGTGTGTGTGTGAGAGGGTGTGTGTGAGAGGGTGTGTGTGTGAGGAGGGTGTGTGTGTGAGGAGGGTGTGTGTGTGAGGGGGTGTGTGTGTGTGTGAGAGGGTGTGTGTGTGTGTGAGAGGGTGTGTGTGTGTGAGAGGGGGTGTGTGTGTGTGAGAGGGGGTGTGTGTGTGAGAGGGGGTGTGTGTGTGAGAGGGGGTGTGTGTGAGGGGTGTGTGTGTGAGAGGGGGGTGTGAAAGAGAGAGTGTGTGTGTGAGAGGGTGCACGTGTGTCAGAGGGTGCGCGCGTATGAGTGTGTGTGTGAGAGCGTGTGTGTCAGAGAGAGTGTATCAGTGTGTGTGTGCGCAGAGTGTGTGTGTAAGCGTGTGTATGTGGGTGAGAGCGGGTGCGGATGAGAGAGCGTGAGCGAGCGCGCGGGCAAGAGAGAGCGCGTGAGTGAAAGTGTGTGTGAGTGAGTGAGTGTGTGAATGTGAGTGTAAGTGAGTGAGAGTGTGTGAGTGAGAGAGTGTGTGAGAGAGAGTGTGTGAGTGAGAGAGAGTGTGTGTGAGTGAGAGAGAGTGTGTGTGAGTGAGAGAGTGTGTGTGAGTGAGAGTGTGTGTGAGTGAGAGTGTGTGTGAGTGAGAGACTGTGTGTGTGAGCGAGTGTGTGTGTGTGTGAGCGAGTGTGTGTGTGTGTGAGCGAGTGTGTGTGTGTGAGAGACTGTGTGTGTGTGAGAGACTGTGTGTGTGTGAGAGACTGTGTGTGTGTGAGTTTGAGTGTGTGTGTGTGAGTTTGAGTGTGTGTGTGAGTGAGAGAGTGTGTGTGTGAGCGAGTGTGTGTGCGTGTGTGAGCGAGAGTGTGTGTGTGGGCGAGAGTGTGTGTGGGTGTGCAAGCGGGAGTGTGTGTGTGTGTGAGTCGGAGTGTGTGTGGGTCCGAGTGAGCGGGAGTGTGTGAGTGTGGGCGAGTGAGTGTGTGTGCGTGAGCGAGAGAGTGTGTGTGTGCGCGAGCGAGAGTGTGTGAGTGTGTGAGCGAGTGTGTGTGAGCGAGTGAGAGAGTGTGTGTGTGCGCGAGCGAGAGTGTGTGTGAGAGAGTGTGTGTGTGTGAGCGAGCGAGAGTGTGAGCGAGCGAGAGTGTGTGTGAGAGAGTGTGTGTGTGAGCGAGCGAGAGTGTGTGAGAGAGTGTGTGTGCGCGAGCGAGAGTGTGTGTGAGAGAGTGTGTGTGTGAGTGAGCGAGAGTGTGTGTGAGCGAGTGTGCGTGAGTGTGTGTGTGAGCGAGCGAGAGAGCGTGTGCGCGAGGGATCGTGTGTGTAAGCGAGTGAGAGAGCGCGTGTGTGTGAGCGAGTGTGTGTGCGTGAGAGCGCGTGTGCGTATGGGGGGTGGGGGGTGGGGGGGGGCGATGGGGCCGATGTGGGGGGGTTGGGGGGGGGGGGGGCGATGGGGCCGAAGTGGGGGGTGGGGGGGGGCGATGGGGCCGATGTGGGGGGTGGGGGGGGGCGATGGGGCCGATGTGGGGGGGTGGGGGGGCGATGGGGCCGATGTGGAGGAGATTAAAAGTGACTTCCGTTTATTAAATTCAATGGGTGCAGATTATTAATAATAAACCTTGTGTTTGACACAGCATTGAGACGTCTCAAAGCGCTTCACAGGACATCCTGTGAGGTGTATATTCACAGAATATATAGTGAATATAACCTGAAGCTCGTATTACTATTTCGGGGAGGGGTGGGGGTTGGGGGGGTGGGGGGTGGGATGGGGCGAGGAGCCGGGTAGGGTCAACAGCGATGCCCCCGTGTGGTTGAATCCTTTTTAGTTTCTTGCCCATTTGGCTGAGTTGGATGGACAGTGTGATTTGGATGACTGAAAGGACTCCAGTGTCTGAGGGAGTTAACCCCCCTACGGTGGGGGGTGTGGGGGGGGGGGGGTGGTGGGGGGAGGGACGGGGAGGCAGGTTGACATGATTCCGCTTCATTCTATTTCACACTCCGCATCCTCAGGATCTGTCGGCCCTCACACTGACTGTAGTGAGTGGGGATGAAGTTGAGCGATGTGATACGGTGTAAATCAGACTCGTGGGCTGCGCAGTGCAAAGGGAAACAGTGCGATGTCCCGGCTCTGCACTGACGTCGATCAATATGATCACTTTTTTTTCGTTCACTCTCTCTCTCTCTCTCCCCGCATTAACGTCTTGTGTTCTGACCTTTTCTTCCCTCGCAGATCGATCCGAAAGTGGCTTTCCCGCGTAGAGCACAGCCTAAGGTAAGCGTGAGCCCGGGAGAGGTGGGTGGGTTGTCTTTGGGGGGGGTGGTGGGGGGGTGGTCTTTGTTCAGAGACTGTAACCGTTTGCCTGTCTGGACGAGGTGATTGGATTTCTACCTTTCCCCAAGCTGCCCAAAGCTACCTTGGACTGGACTACTTGGCCTTCGTTAGTCAGGTCTTACTGTACTTTGTGTGCGTGTGTGCGCGCACGTGTGTGCATGCGCGTGTGCGCGCGTGGTGAGAATTTGAGTGGATTCCTTCATCGTCTTCTCATCCCATGTTCTTCATCCGCCTGGGCTGATGCCTGGAGCTGATGGAGAGGGCAGACTGCTCAGGAAAGCCGCCCAGGGTCTTGTTGCCAATTTTCTCCACAAAGATGTCCATGGTGTGTGTGTGCGTTTGCTGGACTATAGTTTCCTGGGCTGGTCGTGCCCTCTGGTACTTTCCCCATGTGATCATTCTTCACACGGGTGCCTGTTTTGAGTGATGCAAGCCTATTGACTTGTGAAGGGCATCACCGCCGAGCCTAATCACATCTGTTCACCCCACCCCACCCCACACACCACAACCAATTGCATTTACACAGCGCCTTCCACACCGGGAGGGCGTCCCAAAGCTCTGGACAGTGAGGGGTTGGGATCAGAGAGGGGTGGAGCGCAAGGAGGAGAGAAGATGCCCGAAGGCACGGTCGAAAAGGAAGGTCTTGAGGCTCAACACACACAACAGTTTGGGGGCTGTGTTTACCCCCCATCCCCAACCCAGTTTGAGGTTTGACCGACTGTAATCGGAGCACCAATCAGGGTTCGAACCCGGAATTCTCTGTTCTGTGTGACTCAGAAACAGGAGCAAGAATAAAACTCCTGTCTTTACTTCTCTTTCACTTCGACCTCCACAACCCACCCCCCGCCCCCCCACCGCACCCTACCCTTCCCCATCAACCCCCCCACCCTCCAACACAGAGCAGGACGCAATCCTGAGACTGTCTCCACACCACAGCATCTTTCAGTCCATTCCGAGTCCTGCCAGCCCGAGAGAGAGGAGCAGAAAGAAACATTTTACGTTTTATTTTCCTCCAGTTGGAAGCTTAGCTTACGAAATGCACCCGTGAAGCGCTTCGAGATGTCCTCCCGACGCGAAGTGTAGGGGTTATTGTTTATCATCCGTTGCTGGTCGGGTCACAGGACCTGATAACAACCAAAGCTTCGAAGTGTTTTTTTTTCCCCCGTGTGTAATTGGTAAAACTCTGCCACCGCGGTGCACAAATAAGTTAATAGCCTTCTAAGTAATAAGGTGACAGAAGGTGGGGTTAGCTCCAGAGGAGAGAATCAATGCAGATTAGCGAGTCAGTAACATAATGATTAATACAGGCCATGTGGTGTCTAAGGTTGGTGGAGTCTGCAGCCCAGCTTCTTAATGGGGAGGCTTACACAGTGTTTTGGAGCGTGCTCTTTGGGGAGCAAGAGTATTGTGTTTCTTTATTCTCATACGCTGAAGGCCCTGATCATTGCTGGGAATGGTTTTGCCACACTGGCAGCCACCCGGACTCACTCGACCCTTTAAAGGGTGAGCCACGAGCAAACGTTTACAGCGACCGAGCACCTGTCTGCAGTTCTGTTGCCCGCCGTAGACGTTCGGAGCACGCGTCCTGTGTTGGCTCTTTTCAGAGCGATCCCTCCAGGTCTCTCTTAAGCGCTGCCCGCAGCTGACTGAGAACACCAGCGGAGCAGGGGGAGGGGAGGAGGGGAGCAGAGGCGAGAGTTGGACACGTGGTTGAATGGAGAGGTCGTAAGGCGAGAAGGGAGGGAGAGGGTGAGGCAGAGGGACACTGGGATGGAGGTCTAGAGAGCCGGGGGAGAAGGGAGAGGTGTGAAGCAGCCTGGTACTTGTTGAGGAAATGGGGTTGCAATGGGTCATGGAGTTGGTTGGGTGGGGGGTGGGCGGAGGAGAGGAGAGAGACTCCATGGAGGGATAGTCTGTGTCGGCAGGCATTCGACCTTGGAGAGTGTTGTCCACTGAGCCTGTCTGCCCTCTCCGTATCCACGTACACACCTCCCAGTGTCCCAAGGCGCTGCATAAATGTAAATTCTGTTGTATTGTGTGTGTTGGCGCGCGCACGTATGTTTTTGTGCACGCCTGTGATTGCGGCCTGTGTGCCCATGGTTGAGTGTTTGTTGGTGTGTGTGTTGTGTGGTGTGTGTGTGTTTGCTGACTGTGTGTGTTGGGTGTGTATGTGTGTTTGTTGAATGTGTGTTTGTGTGCGTGTTTGGTAGGGGCAGCAGTAGGAAAAAAAAACACGAGAGCAATAACACAACTCGCAAGATGTCTTGGGCGGTTTGGAATCAGCACCGTGTTTTCTAACCGCTGCCTGAAATCCTAAATAAAGTGGGTTGTGAGTATCCCATCAGACCTGAGTGTAATTACATTTCTTGTTTTGATTCTCGGCAAAATTGATTAGTGTTTGTTTACTCTGCTCTTCCACGGGTTCTGCTCTGCTCTGCCTTAATTTGCTGTTGGTTAATTGCTGAGAAGAAGGCTTTGTGAAGCTGCCTGGATGTTTTCCTGACGCACGTCAACCTGGCTCCAGCCGCCTTAACCCCGAATAATGAGCTTCGGGGGCTTGTATCCAGGGCCAGATCCCTGACACGACGTGACCTATGCTGCAAATGGAGCTCTAGGGTCACCGACTACCTGAGATTGCGCTCGGGCGAGCGAGGTTCGGAAAGAGAGGGGAGGCTCCTCCCGGCGTCCTGGCCGACAACCTTCCCCCTGCCCACCCCACCACACACACAACCCACCCCTGAGAAAATCCACCCGGACATTACACGGTCAACCCACTTCACAATCTTACGCTTTGAGACGTCCTTCCTTTGTGGAAAAGGCTGTATCAAAGGTAAGGGTTGCTTGTTTATTGCTTTGCATGATACCCGCCACGTGGTATCATTTGTTTATTATATCCCCCCCCCCACCTCCCAAGGCCCCCACCACCACCTCATCTGAAGCTGCCAGGGTTCGGCCCCACAGGCACCAGACTCTTGTGTGTGAGCCGGACAGTGTGCGTTGCCAGAATACCTGTGACTGTGGGCAGCTACAGCAGAACCTGGCTCTGCCCTCACCACCACCCCCCCCCCCCCCACCCAAGCCCTGAAATTCCACCCAGTCTTAGCCTGCGAAACCATTGGATCATTAATGTTTAAAGGTAGACGTGTAACTGTGGAAAGTTCTGACTTAATCTGCATGACGGTTCTTTTGAAGAACGTGCGGGAGAAATGGCTTGTAAATTACGGCTGAAATTAAGAATTTTCCACAATTCTGCGGCAAGTTAAATTTAAATGAAAGGCAAAAATTTGGCTCACAGACTAACAGAGTCTGTTTGCAATGGATGCACAATTTCTAGCGGGCGGAGTGCGTCTGTGTGTGTGTGTGTGTGTGTTTGCGTGTGGTTGTGAGGGGGTGGGGGTGGTCGCTCGTCAATGATAAGGAACAGAAGCTCGAGGTGGGGGGTGGTGGGGAAAAGTTGTCCAGGGGGCGGCTTGCAGGAGGAGGGGGCTATCCACAAGTGTTATGGGTTTGTGTGATGGTGGTGATGTAGGACTCTATGATATGGGGCCCACAATTTTAGTTGGTGTGACTAAAGGGTCTTAAGCGTTGCCCCCTCCCCACCCTCCCACCCCCTCCGTCCGCCTGTTTTCAGATCGCACATGAAGATCTTGCTCTTCCACAGTACCTACAGTCACCTCCCCCTCTCCCCTGGGCTCAGCATCAGGCTCCCAACACGGTTAAACACTCCCAAGAGGCTGCCCCATGTGAAGGACACGGTACAAACACAAGTTGTTGTTCATGTTGAGTTGAGCGAGTGTCAGCCCGGCTGTGTTGCGTAGGAATGGCAGAGGTACTGAAAACCAGCGTCTCTGTAAAGTGTGGTAAATCTGAGGTTGATTTGGGCATCTTTAAATAAATTAAAATGTTAGAATTCCCCCTCACCTTCCTCCTCCTTCTCCTCCGCTCCCTCCTCCTCCCACCACCCTCACCTCCCCCACCCCTTCCGCAAATCAACCGCGAATGAAGCCCGTAACAGACTCCAGAGAACAGTTCCTGTGATGGGTTTAGGTTACCACTCACTTTACTGAGACACTGTTTTTCACTCTCTCTGGTATTCCTTCAAGGCACGTCTCAAGACACCCCTCCCCTCCCACCTGTTGACCAAGCCTTCGGCCACCCTCCTACCCTTTACTCTCCGTGTCCTCCACCCTCCCTGATCCCAATCCCCCCAGCTTGGGTCCAAATCTCTGACCGACCAGCGGCTTGGGGCGTCCTCCTGACATCCACAAATGTAATTTTGTTGTTGTTGTTGTTGCATTCCAACAACACTCGGGCAAACGCACAACTCAACATCGACAACCATTTGAGGCAGGTTTTTAACAAAGCCACCTTAAATGCCGGTGTGTGTGTGTATATAATATATATGTCAAAAAATAGTTATTTGTCAGCATCGTGGGCCACTGTAAACCCTCCTCAGCTCCCATGTGCCAAAGTGCAACCCGCTGTATCCAGTTTTAACTTGGCACATACGCGAGCCAAAACACATTGTATACCTGTCAGCCGTCCTGTAATAAAACAGGAAGGAGGAGCGAGCTCCTTGCATTAGTCATTGTGGGGTGGGGGGCTTGGGGGGGGGAGGGGGTGCGGGTGGGGAGGGAGGGAGAGAGAGAGAGAAAGGGCACAAGAGGGATTTGGGTGAAGGCAGAGTTACACCAAGAACCCGCACGACAGTGTTCTTGTCAGCAGGAACACAGTGAAAGTTTCTGTGCCCTTATGGTCCGGCGTTTGGTTAAAAACGCTGTATATAGTTTTACAATGATTTTGTTTTGCCAGCAGTGGTGAAGGAGAGAGTTGGAAACAGATACGTCAGTGGGTTACAAAAGGGAATTGGATAGGTATTTGAAAAGGGCTATGGGGGCGGGTAAGAGCAGGGGAGTGGGACGAGTTGGTAGCTCTTTCAA